GCTCACCAGCACTGCCCATACAAATTTCAGCCATCAATTCCCAGCAAAACCCTGGCGTGGCACCCCAGGAGGCCATGAGCCATGCGAGGCCAGAGTAGTGCTAAGCATGTTTGTTAGTAAAACCTGGTCTTACCTCTGTTCTTGTGTCTTTGTGCTTTAGAAATTAGACTTGTTTTTAATGTTTATTGCATGACAGATTGTGTTAGAACACCTAGAGCTTGTAGCTGATCAGGGCTCAAAATTCTGTTTTGAATTTTCAGCTTTACTGACCTGGCATTAAATAAAGGAGGAGAGTCCTACTTGACAAATAACTTTACGTATATTTACAAGTGCCACGTAGAACTACCTTGAGCAAATGTAAATCTGAATCTATTATTGCATGTGTCCAAGGTGGCTTCTCAAGTTGAACTGGGACCAGGCGCTCCCCTGCTGACACTCTAGTAGTATCTGCAGGGATGTGCGTGTGTGTGTGTGTGTTTACATGTGTGTGTATGCATGTGTATAACCAGTTACAAGTATATGTCTGTGCATACGCAGTTATGGCCTCCCTCGGACCAGCGGCTCTTTGCTCCTTTCATTCAGTTTCAACTCCCACACCAACGGGACACTCTTCCATGCTTGCAGTCCAAATCCCTAAAAGAAGCAAACTAGTCTGGGGACTTTGCTGCTGATGCCGAGACCCTCTGGCCAGGCCCTGCACAAGCCTGGAGACAGGGCCCCCCTGAGCACAGGGCACCAGTCCCAGTTCCACCGGGTGAGAGCAGGCCAGGGAGAGGTTGCCCGACACACAACACCGCAACCAGGCAGCCCGTGTCCCGGCAGGGCATTTTCCCTTAGATTCTAGGACTGCTTGGGAGACCATGGCTGCCATCCCTTACTCGCAGGGATGTTTAGGCTCTTGCAGGCGGTCCTCACGCGACGTCCTTCCAGTATACACACATTTCCATGATCGACGCCATGGTAGAGTTAAAAAACCTCAGTCCCCAATCAGAAATTTCAGTTACCATATGGATTAGTCTGCTAGGGCTGAAAGAACAAGATACCACAAACTGGGTGGCTTACAGGATAGAAATTGACTTTCTCACAGATCTGGAGGCTAGAAGTCCAAGATCAAGGTGTCCACAGGGTTGGTTTCTTCTGTGGCCTCCCTCGGCTTATAGATCCCATCTGCTGCTCCCTGTGTCTTCACATGGTCTTCGCTCTGTGTTCCAATCTCCTCTTCTTACAGGGACCCCAGTTGTGCTGAATTCCGGCTCACCTGAATGACCTCTTAATTACCTCTTGAAAGGCCCTGTCTCCAAATACAGCCCCATTCTGAGACACGCCGGGGGTTAGGACCTCCCCGTATGTGTTTGGGAGGGGACCCATAACCACATGGTATATTGTGTCCTCGTATAAAGTACAGACATTGCTGCTGGCTCTTCAGTCCGCACTATGTCCGTAACAGGTGCACGTCATGATCCAAAGCCATGCCCATCCCTTCTTGCAAAGTGTGTTGGTGACTGGTCACTGAGTAGCTGTGACTCAGTCGAGGGATGGACCGTGAAACTTGGAATTGTGCTGCTGCCTCGTCTCCCAGTGATATACCCACCACATTCCAGCCGACGTACATCATCAAGAGCGGGAATTGGCCACCGAAAGCAAAAGTGAGGTGAAAAACAGTGCAGAAAGTGAAATTGGAGGTGCTTAGAAGGTTTGAAAATGGGGCACCAGGGGTGAAGAGAGGAGTCCTGCAGGAAACTCCACTATAGACCGTATTGGAAGGGGTGCCTGGGTGGCTCAGTCAGTTAAGTGTCCGACTCTTGATTTTGGCTCGGGTCATAATCTTGGGGTTGTGAGATGAGCCCAGCATCAGGCTCCTCACTGGACATAGAGCCTGCTGGGGATTCTCTTGCCCTCTCCCCCTACCACCCCACCCACCGCTCATGCTCTCTTAAACAACTGGAAAAAGTCCGACGAATATTAACAAGCTCAAGTCATCTCCATGTATATTAGTTGAAATTGAATTGGCACATTTACTTTGAAGATTGATGTATGTATATAAATCCCAATCCACTTGGCTAGTCTTCAGGCCAAAGTGTTGAACGCCTGCATTGAAAGAGAATGGTGATTACGAGGAAACAGGAGAGGAAACTTTTCTGCCGGAAAATGCTGGTTGCATGGTTTCAGAAGCCAAAATCAGGGTGAACTGAGCGGGTCGGTGGTACCTCCAGGACAGACCAGAGCACTGCTGGGAAGTGTGCCCCCAGGTTCCAGGGATGAGTTCGGGCAGTGGGTTCCAATGATCATCCAGTATTGACTGCTGGGGAGACCGGTCTTTTCTGGAAGACCCTTCTGTGGAGTGACCATAAAGGAGGACCTGGATCCTCAGCCAGAGGAACTTCGTTGAAGGTGAACTTAGTGAGGTGAATGAGGAAAAGTGCTTAGAGAAAAGGATGAAGAGACAAACCAACCCCTCCGCATCAAAGGGTTCATCTGAGATTCTTCAGGACATTGAAAGGGCAAAGGGTAAAATGTTGGGAGCTGATCCTTGGCAATTTGCCAAGGCCTAGGAAAGAGGCTTGTTCTGTATCCTAGGTTATTTAATGAGAAGAGGAAGGCAAATGCTGTCCAAAACTGATTTTTTTTTTTTTTGGTACCAAAAAAAAAACCCCACAAAAACCTCTTAATGGTCATTTCTAAAGTTTTAAGTCTGTGTACTAAATAAATATTCCTGTTACTATGTTTTACATTTTCTTCAAGTATTACTGGCAATAGTAGTTTTTAGTTTTTCAACGTACATTTGTAAGGGGCATGGAACAATCATCATTCTCTGAGTGCTAGACTGGCTTTTTGGAGTTTCAACTTGCACGGTCATCTTTATGGTCCCACACTTCCATGCAAAGCAAGAACTGCATGTGTGTGCTTGGGGGTGTGTGTGTGTGTGTGTGTGTGAATCTTTTTGCTGAGAGTCTTGTTAAGCTGCACCGTGTTATGTCTTCAGATGTATTATTCACCTAAGCCTGGCCAGCATAATTAGCCTTTTCCTGATGGTTCGGAGTCTTCATTTGTGCTGTAAAGAAGTAGAAAATACGGTGGTTAAGGGTGTGGCTTATGCAGCCAAACTTCCAGAGCTAAAATCCTGGCTTTGCTACTTACCCGTGTATGATCTGAGTAAGATGCTCCATCTCTTGGAGCCTCGGTTCCTCACCAGTAACATGACGAGAATAACAGTACCTGCCTCCTTGTGTTGTTGCAAGGATTAAACGAGCAAATGTGCGTATAGCTTTGAGTGCCTGGTGACCACGGAAACAATACGTGGTTAGGGGCTGCTGGTGATGATGATGTTGGTAGTAGGGACATTGGAAGTATTCACGATGTCAGGTGTCTTCAGATGGATTGAAACTGAGACCCTTTCCTCTATCGGACAGGCTCGGGCTGCAGTGCTTTTGATTTCTTGCGTTGTGTTACTTACATGTTCTCCTCCCTTAATTTGTCTATTACTGGTCGTCTTTAAGCAGAACAAGCATCCTACTCTGAGCCACCCTCTCCTTAGGATTTGATGCTTTTCACCCACAGGGTGGGTTATAGCTCTGAGAATCTGTCTTGTGTAGAAGCCCTCAAGAGGGCTCCGTGTCCCAGGCAAGCCCCAAAGAGAACCATTTCTTTGGCTTGAGGGCCTCCAGATGAGGTGATACTCTGTCATTGTCCATTACCTGTCTATCTCAAAACCATCAGGTTAATCTTTGTAAGCAGTGAAATTACACGCCACAATCTGTTACCTTCTTTTGGCATTTCATTTTTTATTTTAATATACTGAGAACCTTGAAGTCCGAGGTGACCCAGGCTTCGCTTGTGGGGTGAGTGGGTTGAGTTATAGTAACTGATAAATGGTCTCGGGATAAAAAAGCAAAGCTGTGTTTCTTTTCATTCTCCATCATTTGTCTAAGCCTCTTGCTAGCTCACAAATTCTCTCTGGTTCTTTATTCCACCCAAGGGAGCTGGGGCGTCGCACGTGCCGAATTTGTGAGAACAAAGGTGTCCGTGCATCATGTTTATGATGCGGTAGGGTCTACAGGGCCGGGTGTTTCTGGGGCCACCCTCTACTAAATCTAAAAGTCATGCTCTGAACAGAGTATTGGGCTCAGTACTCCCCAAAAGGTACCATATGGGTTCTTAGTTGATCCTGTGGCTGAAATAAGTTTTATACTTCCTATCCTTATTTTTTCCCCTCGTCCCACCCCTAAATTGCTTTTACCTGAAATACGGTTCTAATTTGCCTTGTCTCAGTTGTATGAGCTCCCTTCCTTCCTTCTTCCTCTAGGTTTCCTTAGGTAGCTTCCTTACGCCATTAGGGGCAAAAGAGCACCTTGGTTCGTTTTCGCAAAAGTGATCTGAAGTGGTTGAATAAGAAACCAAAAAGCTCACTGTACTGAGAATTTGGTTAATGGTGGCTCCTGGCACTTGCCCTTAATGGCCAGCCCTGCCCATTGCAGTGGCCAGCTCCCAGGTGCCTGACGAATGAGTGAAGTAAGAAAGGAGGGTCCCCTGAATTAATAGGTCATCATCAGTTGATTGCACCACAGTGAAAAAGAAAAAAAAAAAAAACTATGCTTAAAAAAACAAAAACCTTTTAGATCAACTCCCCTCTTTCCTTGAATATCTGAGGCACTTGTTAACAAAACTATAAACTTTGTGAATCGATACGCCATCATATACAGGTATTTTCATACATCCTGGGTATTACCTTAATAACCTCAGAATGGATAAGGATTTTTGGAAAAGGCTCCTTGTCCCTGGTGAGGGCGAGACGGAACATGCTACCTGTTGAAAATGCTGTAAGGTCTGAGGCAGGAGGGAAAGCTAGCAAGACTTCACTGGTATTGTGTGCTGTGTTGAGGTGGTAGGAACATGTAGGAACCTGCCGTTGGGTTTGTTTGTTTCTTAAATATTTACAGAGTCTGATTCCCCCACCCCTTCCCCAACCCCTTGACTTTTCTTTTTTCGGTTGTGGAGAGAAGCACATCATGCAAAATCGACTTTTCACCATGCCGAGTGTACATTTTAGTGCAACCATCACTCCTATGTACTGCAGAACTCGTTCATTATCCCAGCCCGAAAGTATACACTCCTCGTACACCTAACTCTCCACTCCGTGCCCGGCAACCTCTGTTCTTTCTCATGTAAGTGGAATCAGTATTTGTCCCTTCGCTGTCTGGCTTATTCTACCTTGGGAATTTGGTTTTATGCCGATTTATCTAACAGGTTGCTTTCGGGGATGGTAATGATCAAAAACCTAAAATTTGTCCCAAGCCCCAAGTCTGAAATCCTGTATCCAGAAGTGCTACGGTGTTTATTAAACCAAGTGACTAAAATGAGGTGGCATTTTGGGCAAGAACTCCATGTTCGATTTGTTGCTGTCATAAAATTAAAAAAAAAAAAAAATTCCTATTGTAAGAAAATTTCCCGTACGTGAAATATTAAAGTTTGTTAAAAATCCACTTTTTTGCCACTGCTACTGCTGGTAATCTGGTTGTCTGGGGGATCATTGCCTGTCTTACTGGCTTCCAGGGTCTGGGCAGGGATAGAGAGTGGGTTAGCCTCCCAGCCTCCCCTAATGTTAGAATCAAGTTTAGCAGCGTGTGAGCGGTCTTCAGGAGGCAATGTGGTATTGACGTGTAATTGTCTTAATCCACATGCTTTAATGCTTAGCCCTCCATCTGTAGCCCTACCCCCACCCCAGCAGTATTTAGGATCCTCTTCTGGAATCTAATGCAAGTTCCTAAAGGAGAAAGATACCCTCCCCACCCCCCTGGAGAGCAAGAAGACCTTGTCAGTGGGCAGAAAACAGTGATGTTTAAACATCCGAGTTAGGTATGAGAATACGGAATCTCCCATTTCCTATCCAAGAAATTTCCCATGCATTGTCTAGATGTCTTTAGAATTGCTCCTTTTGATTTTTCTGAAGATGGTCTGTTCCGCCGTTGGGGGGGCTGTGCCCCTGTGTATGGTGGGCTTGGAGATCCCGAGTGGAAAGGCAGCCACAGCGAAACAATACCCCGGGAGTTGCCTGTGGCTTTTGTTTGCTTGTCCCTGTTTACCTATTCACAGCCACGGATCCTTTCTGCTCTGCTGTGTGTTACTGAGGTCAGGTGTAATAGAGCCCCATTGCAGCATGGGTTAAGGACACGGATCATGCCGACTTTCTGTACTGTCCGTCTTCCCCTAAAAGACCTAGCGTGTGTCAGGATGACAGAGAGGGGCACGGACCAGACCCACGTGTGGACGATTTCCCGGTCGGGTCTGCCATGTGCTTTTTTTGCAAAAGCTGCAAAAGTGTTCGCTCTCAAACCACTTACCCTGCACAACGGTCTCCTGCATTCTGTTATCAGAACCTACGCGCTGCTTTCTTAGGAGCTAATTGAACAAGGAGCCAGTCTGTATCTCGTTCTTGCACATCCTGTGTCATGAAAATGTATTCTTCCAAAAAAAAAAAGAGAAAGGAAGAAAGCAAGAAAAGAAAGAAAGCGAAAGAAGTGGGGTGGAGGGGGGGAGAAAAGGTTGCCATCCAGTGGAGGAAGGAGTAATTCCCAGCTTCATTCAGGAAAAACGCAGGCTGGAATATGCTTAACTATTTTAACTTGGCTGGGGATTTTTATCACCAGAAGGGTTTTTAGTGACATCCGGAGCCAAGCGGGTGCAGTGTGCCTTTAAGGAAAGAAGTGCCTTACCAAACTTCCCTGTAGTTGTATCTCACCGTGTGCATAGGGAAGGAAAGTGTTAATTTCTTATTTGTACACTTTTTTTCCCCGACTTCCTTCCTATTCACTTCATTAAATCTAGAGGCAGTTCAGCATGGGAGCCGTCTGTATGTTGAATTAGGGCTCGCACTCTTGCGCAACACGTCACCAGTCGGAAACTGGGGGTTTGCTTCTGTGATTTATTTCATTATTGTGCTGGTAAAAGGTTTGGAAGGGCATTCTTTTCGGGGTAGTACTTTAGCATTGTGTAGCAATTTTTTTTTTTT